AAGATACTCACCTAGGGTTTAAGATTACCTGTGAAAATCGACCTGATGCCTTTCCGAGGAACACTTTCCAATGAGGATATTTTCGTGGCTGTGAAAATAACGAACTGCACTGTAAAGTTACTGCACTCATTCTCATTAGAAACTAATACATAATTCCACTGATTGTTTTTTTTTTTTTGGGGTCGAGAGCCAAAGAACGCCGTATTTTTGGGGGGGCCGCTTTTCCATAGTGTAAGGGTAATAAGTCCTATAGACGTGTGGTTCTCAACCTGTGCACCAACGAACAGAAGGTCACCCATAGAGGATGTTACAAACTTCAGGAAAAAAGAGGGGGGGGGGTTGACATAAACACTTTGTTATTATATAATCACTGATTATATTAGTTTAGTTTATAATACTATAAAGCGGATGTTTTAGGAGTTAAAAGATTACAACTGCTGATCATTATTTTATATAATAATAAAGATATATCATAAAAACATGATTTAATCAAATTTGTTTGTTTTTTTTAATGCTGATGTTAGACCAGCTTGTAGCCGAAATAGTATAAGACATTTTGAAGTTAACAACTAATAGTTAAAACCTTTTTTTTTTTTTAAAATAACAATAGTCTATACATGTAGAAGCTGACGACCAGAGAGAACAGTGCGTTGCTCCCTGTCGACTCGGTCACAAACATGACCCTTCCGAGCCTCTCCGTCAGTGACCTTAAAGATGGGCAGACGGGACAAAAATGAACAAGAAGAGTGACGGACTGTCGGAAACGTACCCCCCGTGATTGCTGTGACTTTACACTTATAGACCCCCCGAGGTTCGGACCCCAAAAATTTGGACCCCGAGGTTTGGTCCCCTAGGTTTAGACCCCCAAAGTTTGGACCCCAAATGTTGGACCCCAAAATGTGGACCCTTAGATTCGGACACCTAGATTTTGACACCTAGATTTGGACCCCGATATTTGGACCCCCGAGGTTTGGACCCCGAGGTTTAAACCATTAATATTTGAAAAGACCAGCCACCAACCGAGGTGGCCCTGGAGAATTTCGGCGCAGTATAATATTTTTTTGAACATTGTAATGTCTAGACATTGGTGTATTACAATAACTAGGTAACATATAATACTCGTTTAAAGAACATCATCGAGTTAATGCTTTCCAGATTGTTATACGTTGTTTAGATTATATAACCACAAAAAGGTCGCATTAATCACATGCAGTGGCGTAGCGAGGGTGTTTGGCGCCCGGCGACAAGATTCGCGCCCGGGGACAAGATCCATTTTTAGCGCCCCTTTTTCTTTTTTTTCAACTCTCAAACCCATTTTTTTTCATCAATAAAATAATATCCATGCAAATTTTGCGCCCCTAACTAGCTGGCGCCCGGGGACATCTGTCCCCCCTGCCCCCACCACGCTACGCCTCTGCTCACATGTCAAAGAGAACAAGATTCTAAATGTCTTTAAAAAAAAAAAAGAATTACGCCAAAAAAATAATAAATGTATACACTTCTCCGAAGGTTAAGTTTTACAAATATTTTTCCAAATATTTAAATTATGCTTTTGGTTACTGGCCTAACTAGATTGTTTTTATTTCTATTTTATCTCTAGTGTTTATGAATTGCAACTACTACACAGTTATTCAAACGTATAGTATTAGTTAATTCCCTTAGAAATCAGAATTTGTTGAAAAGAGTGATGATTTGTTAATATTTGCGTCAAAAATCACCTTAACAAATCACCGATGTGGGAAAATGAATGATAGATTATAAATAAAATGAACGCATTTGTCTCCACAATGCTGTTTCCTAAAATTAGAGTGGGCACTAAATTTCATAACAGAAAAAAATTATGTAAATATTATGTTTTAAAAAATAATTTGATTGTTGTTTTTTTAAATTTGAAATAAATAAATTAAATAAAAATAAAAAAAAAACAATAATTTTTTTTTTTTCTGGATAAATGAATAAATAACATATTTAATGACATCATAACCTGGCCCTAAAGGTTTAACTTACCATGTGCAGCCCGTCGCCACGCGTTGAGTAATCCTTCCGCTTACTCCCACTCGGGTCTGCCAGGCATCCTCTGGTCGTTAGTTCCACCTGTCACGGAGATCGTTCACAATGAAAGAAAAGATGACAGGTCTAGGGACTGACCATAACAAGATTAGACCAAGATTACGAGCTAATGTTCCCTTGGAATTGTAATGACGGTAATTTATTTGAAAATGATTTGGAACGGCTATTTTTGGGATGTTACTTTGATTTTGATTTGACATTAATCTTAAAATTGACATATTTTTTAAAATGACTTTTATTTTGGAACGCTTTCAAAATCAACACCTAGAGGTCTATACTTTATATAAAAAAAAAATTTAATTGAAAAAGACTCCCCCCCCCTTTTTTTTTTTCTGTCTGAGGAGCCTTGAACACATTTTAAAAATAATTTCTAGGTTATGGGTACAGTGAAACCAATTTGCCTCAATGCTTCTCTATCCTCGTGTCACTTGTGAAATTTTAAGAACGATATCTAACAATGAGTACCGTAACAATGAGTACCCGTAACATTGAGTACCGTAACAATGAGTACCGTAACAATGAGCATGTAAGCTATCCTTGTATTTTTCTGATAAGGCTAAATTTTAAAAGAAAATAATAATAACTCGCACCAACCGAAATGTTTGTGAACATCTTAAGAACCAATGATTATTTTTAAAACATTTCAATTACGTTTCCTAATATTTTATTATAATCCAAAAAGATTTTTGATATACGGAATTTTTGTTTAAATCTTAGCAACAGGGCGTATCATTTTGAAGGTATTCAATACATTTTTACAAATAAACCCTGAATTTTTAGAATGTTGTTTAAACAAAAATTCTTATCCATCAGCACCCCCACCCCCCAACCTTTCCACGCCCAAACCAAATTTCACCAACATGTTACAATGCCCGATGAATGTCCCAATCTTTAAACCAAATTGCTTGGACTGATTTATTTGTGTTCGTGCGAGTACTAGGAAATGCTTGGATCCATAAGCATTGGTTGAACCCCTGACTTTAATTTATTTAAGCAGATAAAGCTTGTTTCTAAATCCGTTTAGAACAGTGGCTCTCAAACTTTGTAAAGCCGCGATCCTTCAATACAGTTCCTCATAGTATGGCGACCCCCCAACCACAAAATTATTTTCGTTGCGACTTCATTAATGTGAGTATAGGTGTCTTTCCGGTGGTCTTAGGTGACCCCTGTGAAAGGGTCATTCGACCCCGAAAGGGATCGCGACCCACAAGTTGAGAACCACTGGTCTAGATAGTAATGGTTTTGCTTATTTGTTATCACGTCACTCCGCAAATCAGTGACAATGACAATCCATTTAAGATTAAACGTTGAAAGGTAATTTTTTTCCCAGAGGCGTCACTGGCGATAATACAAACCGCTAGGTTTGTATTTAGCCCCCCTCCCCCAACCACCCACCTATGTCCAAAATAAATATTAAAAAAGAGTGTTACATTATTAGCAAAAAATCAATTATATAATTTTTTTTTTTTTCCATACCTAAAATTCGATTTTTAAAATGTGTTTTTTTTAAAAACTAACAATCGTTATAAAACTTATGGTAAACGTTCCATGTTTTTGCATATTTCAAGAGATTAACAATGTATAAAGTTTGTAAGACAGCCAAAGTAATAACATTATTTTACAGCATTCAATTTTAGAACACGTAATTAATCGAAAACAACAACTGCGTAACAGCTGGGAAAAGCTTTTTCTTCACGAAACCACAGATACGCATCCACTATCTGACTAGTGAGAGAATTCAACAAACTGTGCAAGAATTGATTTAGTCCATTTGTGTGTGGTGATGTCATTTTAAAGTATTATTATTTTTTTTTTTTTAACATTTGTCTATTTTTTAAAAAAAAATGATGTCTTTAAAATTTAAATTCGACATTATTTTTGATACATTTCATATTATTTTCAGCATTGATCATTTCGCTTTTAAAAAAAAAAAAAGTCTCTCTTGATAATGATATATCACTATAATAAATGAAATCCTGTGACAGGATGTAAACATTTCTATCGTTATAGAATCGACATGTCTGTTATTCTTTTGATGTCTTTTAAGCTTATGTTATCAGTTTCACAGAATATGTGAATAAGGGTTACCTTTTGAAGATTGTTTAGTTCAGATTTCACCAGATCCTGGACTATACTTTTCGTGAATCTGATTCCTCTATCTTTTCAAAGTGACATGTTCCTTCCATTTCAAAGGTTATACCATAAATATATAACTGCAATGAAATATTTTAATTATTTATTACATTATACATATATATTTTTTATATTTTATTTATTTATTTTTTTAAATTTTAGCCTTGTTTTTTATCATTTTTTCTTCTTCAATTTTTGGTCTTTGAAATCACTCTTTATTATTTTATAAGAAAAGAAAGATTGAAATTTAAGTTGGCTTATACTTATTGGCTATCGAAGTGAGTGGGTAAGTCAATAATAAAAATATAATTAATTTTAATCAATATTTAATCATTTTTTTTCATAGAAAAACAAAATGGTTTACTATAAAAAATTAATGAAATGGTAAATGGAGCACCCCTTCTGATAGAGAAACCCGTTCTCCCATGTGACCGCACGACACATGATATTTATAGGTCTTATTTTGAAAATTTCCTCTAACACTCAAAAGCTCAGAAGGGAAGGGAATAGTGAAACAAAATTAGTTGCACAGATCCGAAGCTAACACAAGGTACTGCTTAGAATTTTTAACAGCTATGTTAACATGTTTTTGGTACTATGGACTTAAATAAAATGACTGACTAATAAATTTAGCATAGCTTATATAATTAGTTGGGTTTTTTAAAATAGTTCTTATAGATAATAGTGACCACAATATGACAAATCAAAGAAAGGCAATTGGCAATGGCTCCGCATCAACCATTGTTGACCTGGCCGGTAATGATGTGGCATAATATCAAAGATTAACATTTGTGCATATTGTAAAGCATATTTTATGTAAAAAAAATTAAATATTCAATGCAGGAAACATTATTAAGTATATTTCACATAATTAGTGCAGATACTTTCTGTATATCATTTAATCATTTTTTAAAAAATTATTTATATTACTACGCCGAAATTTGACCTATACTATAAATAGAAATACGTAATGTTGAATTCCCGATTTCTTTATCTGTTTCTTGTAAAGTTACGGGAACCCCCAATTTGTCTGCCTGAAAACCTATTCTTTTGCCATTCTTTCTGTTAGTTTCAGTTTTGTAATTCAGTTTATTTTCACGAAGGAATTCAAGAATCTTTTCACAGTTCTTGATGTATTTTCCGAATTTGCCGATAAAATAATTTTATTCGTGTTTTAGTTTAGCTCTTCTTTTTACATTAAAGATGCATTTCAGGAGCGCTCGGCTTAGGCTTTACCATAACAAAAGGTGAGGCATTCATGATTCATTAGTCAATGTCATGAGCATTAGGAAATTAGGAGTAATTTTCTGATTTCAACAGAAACCAGGTCGAAAGTTGAAAATAATTTTCGGCATAAACCGAAGCGTAAACCAAAAGCTTAACGCGGCTTTCGGTCGAAACAGAATCCGAAATCGAAAGATTTAAAAAATTTAAAACTCGTTTTCGCACACGTTCTGTGCACCACGAAAAATTACTTAACTTCTCTGGCAATTTTTATTTAAATTTAAGTGGCTTTTATACAATTTACTCAAGGAAGGGAATCAACCCATCCCCCATAATTTTTTTTTATTGCAGTGTCATTTTAAATCATGGGTAAGCTAAAAACGTCTTAAGTCTAAGTACTTTTTATTTTAACCAACAAAACTTATTGTGGCCTAAACAACCCCTTTTTACTATCCAAATTGGTTGGGGATTAATTTTGAAATGGTCAGTATTCACTTTCCCCTTGATTGCTAGGCCTTTTCGCTTGTCATCACACGCACACACACACACACACACACATCGCCAGACGCAACCAAAAAAAAAATTAAACATTTTTTTTTAATCTTCACCGTGAACGGCTCTCTAAACAATCCACATGAGAGAATTAATAGTCTGTTATCTGAATGTTACAAAGTGTGAAACCCAGCCATTCCATGGAATCCCTAGGCAAAGTGTATATATAGTAAATAGCTTACGTATGTATTTTTATACTTTACCTAGGCATTCTATAGAAGGGCTGGATTACGCACTTCGCCTGTAACATTTAAATATAGGTATGAAGAAATCTAATCATTTTTTAAATTTTTGTAATGTAATTCCAAAATACAGAAATCAATTCTATACCAAAAATTTTAATCTAAGCTTGCTTCCGCCTACTATCACTAGCTCTAGGCCTAAAATATTTTTTTTTAAAAAAGCTATAGTAGGTTTATAGTATATATTATATAGCCTAATAAACTAATACTTTTATATTAGTATCACTACAACTCTCACAAAAGCCTAATTTAAGCTAGTATTTTTTTTAAGAATAAATTTTAACTAATTGATAATGTAATATTTAATACTTAGCCCGCTTAACGTGTGTCCATACACTTACACGTGACTAAGTTGGCGTGATATTTAAAAAAAAAATATATTGCGTTGTCAATGAAAACATTTATGAGCATGATATTGATAATGAAGAATTTCTATGAATTGATCAATTGAATAAGCCTTGGGATCCCAAATGAACAAAAATGAGAATTGAACAAGTAATAAAGGTAATGTTACCTCTCCTTAAGATTGTTTTATTTTTTTTTCATAATACTTTTTACCTTTGACTATGATAACATTTAAGTTCAAGATAATGATAAAACAAAAGGTAGAATGATTTGAATAGACCTGGGGTATTTTAAAAAAATAAAACAAAATCATAACATAAATATTACCACTCCAGCAAGACATTGAGCAAAAATGCATATCCGACTGCCGGCCGACAGACAGAGTGACAATCTGCAATCTGGTCGAAGACCGAAGCTCTTAATTACTTTCGACCGAAACTGTAGATTAACCGAATGTTAACTTTTCTGTTTTGGCCAAAACCACGCCGAAAGGGATCAAATGGCGACTTTCGGCGCCGAAACCAAAATTCGGTCGTTCTCTATTAGAAGCATTACAGTGATATTTAGTGCACCATATGTTCAAGGCTTGTAACGTGTCGGCTACACGGGTGGTTCCTACACATGTTTGATTCCTGGCGCCCTTGCCAAATTTAGTTTTTACCTGACGCCCTGTGTTAAACTCTAACACAGCGGTTCTCAACCTGTGGGTCGCGATACCCTTGGGGGGGGGGGGCCGCACGACCCTTTCCCCGGGGTTAGGAAGTAGCAACCAAAATAATTGNCGAAATAGCAAATACATTAAAATGTAAATAAAATAAAGGTTTGGATAGAATATATGAATTTAAGGTGGCACATACAGCTTCAGAAAGTGTTGTTTAGAGTACTTTATGAAACTGTCTGATTGTGACAACAACCTTAGCACTTTTGATGTACTCGCTCCCCTGAGTGCTAAAACCTGGAAGATTACAGTTTTCGGCTTCCCGCAGATTCATGGAAACTCTTTTGATCAGCCGTTTCTAACCCTCTCAAGCAAAATAAGTTCGTTTAAAAGCAAAAGAATGATGAAATGTATGTATTTAAAAAATATGTTATATATATATATATATATATATATATATATATATATATATATATGTATATAATTCTTGTATTTTTGCTATAAAGTTCTACTTGGATTCTTGGCTTTACTTTCAGTGTGGATCTCCTTGCCATCTGGATACATATACTCCTAGCAGAGTCTAACTTTTGTCTAGACTGGCGGGGAGAGCACCAGAAAATCACCAAGTGATCAACACGTGCATGGCTTCATCTCGATATTCTCTTGACACTTTCGTTTCGCTTTGTCTCAACACGGAAAAATTAGGAAAAGCTTGTTCTCCAAGTTACATTTTCGAGCCTACTTTTTCCCCCCTGATCTGTCGCCGTATCAATTAGATCCTACTGTGATATTTCGAAGGAAAGTGTGGTCCACACTGACTCAAAAGACACATATATTCCCATCAATTATTGTCTTCACGTGTGTGTGTGTGTTATTTTTTAAAAAATTGTTACTGAGAATGGGAGAAATTAAAAGAAAAAAGAATACCCCTAAGCACATCTTGTGGCTTATAAATAAACGAAGTTACAATGCATCTAAAGCGCCTGGTCGAATTAGAGCCCCCAGCGTTTCACGACATAGGGCAAGATCGTGTAAGGCTAACGGCTTGTCTGTAGCCAAGCCCAATACAAGGAAGCTGGGCTCCATCAAGTAAGTCTTCTAACAGAACATCAATTAAAAGTATAATGAATTTAATAAATTTGCTAGGAGAGGGTATCGAATTTGAATTCAAACTTATGAATAAAGGATCATCTATGTTTGTATGTTTGGGCTTCAAGGGGACAAACTTATATGTATTTATGTTTATGGAAATATGTATATATGTACATTCTTTATATATTTTTTTTGTTCGTCCGTCGAAGATCGACTAGGATCATCCGGTCATCCGGTGACTGATGACTTGCGCGGCTGACTTTTGTTTAAAGTGAGGAAGAGTTGCGCGGCGTCAACCTCACTCTCTCGTCCGAGCCCACCATATCCAGTGGCAGGACTCTACGTCAAGGCGACCAGGGATGGGTACGGTTGTAGGAATTGTCATTGTATGCGCTTTACGGGACTCCAACTCCGGGTTTGACGTCAGAGTTTCCTTCTCTTAGATGAGTTGCCGACCAAGGTTAACGAGACTCATCCACCCGGGGGGATTTTTTGGCTTGACCGGCCTTTGGGTGACTGGGTGGCCGAATGGTCTAAACTGAGCAAACCTCAAGTTGGCGGTCTGCAGTTCAATATTTATAAGTATATATATATATATATATATATATATATATATATATATTCAAGGCGTCAAAAATCTCTAGTTAAATTGTAATATTTTTGGGTGGCCGAATGGTCTAAAATGAGCAAACCTCAAGTTGGCGGTCTGCAGTTCTATATTTATAAGTATATATATATATATATATATATATATATATATATATTCAAGGCGTCAAAATTCTCTAGTTAAATTGTAATATTTGGTTTCATGGACTTTTCCTCGTACCAACGCGGGGTCAACGCCCTTGCGTGTTCCGACGGAGCAAAATTGGTTTGGAAAAAAAAAGGCTATATGTAAGGTTCTCTCGGGCTCTTACCTGTGATGGCCAACATTATCTGTTCACTTGATTATGTTTCCGATAACCGTTTTTAAAAAAATAAATAAACATTGTCTTAAGGATCACATCAATGAAATACACATTTCAAAGAAAGTTAAATTTAAAAATGGACAGTAAATACTGAAAAACACAACCATTAAGAACCAGCGTAATGCATTCTTTAGATATAGAAAGAAAAATATTAAATATAATTATTTAAGGTCATTCAGACAATTATTTTTGGAGGAAATTTGACCTTTGAACATACATTTAAAACTATCTCAGAAATTTAAAAATAAAATGCATTCAAACTCAGAATAAATATTCTTTATTAAAAAAAAAGAACTAATCTTGAAAAAAAAATTGCTTGAAATTGTCGACTGACATGATACACAATACAAAAACATGTTTAGTTTCTCAACGTAGCATGAATAAATAAATAAAATGTTACGTAAATGAAATGAATTAAATAAATTAAGTAAACTTATCCAATTTGTGTACAATTTAAAAAAAAAATCTCATCCCACAGAAACACACATAACACATCGAAAAGATATGACGAGGACCATCATGGTCAGAAATATCCCTCTAAACTACAGCAGCAAAGCTTGGAACATTACAAGAGAAGTCGATTTCGAAAGTTTGAAAAGAGGGCCTTAAAGTCTGTGAAGAAGTATGTATTCATTTATTTTTTTAAAAATTTATTCAATATGAAATGCAACATGTTTTTTCTCCAATTTTTTAAAATATTTTTTTTAATGATTTTTAAAAATTAGCAGATTTAAGATAGTTGCAACCAGTACAGGACTTGTTAAATGTTCGATGAACTTCATAAAAGTATTATGATTAGGTTTAATCTTTATTGGCGATGTCCACAGAGAGGAAGGACAACTTGGGATGTGTTCAATAAAGCATTTATATTTATTTTACACGTAATTAGAAATGACATATTTTGTATTTTCATCCATAGGTTTCACGTGAATAACATTATGAAGGCATACATCCCAACAATAATAACACTTCTCAAGGATAATAACTACAACGATAAAATGAAAACAGGAGATAGCCCGGTCAACATGGAGGATGTCACGTGTGCAAAACTGCGACTCGGGCAACAGGAAACGGATCTCAGTCTCCACCGGTACTATAGGTATTATAGGTTAACAAATAGGTATTATATGTTAACAAATTATTTCTTCATGATGGCGGATATTCCCAAAACCGATAAATCTCAATTTGAAATTGATTCTGTACAAAAGCTCGATGACACACACAACAAGATGGTGTCACAGAACAAAAAAAGTCCAGAGCTGAATCCACGGCTTGCCACTGAAGACAGCATCATGAGCGAACTGTGTCATAATCGAAATTTTCGCTTAAGACCTCAAACCCATATGGTTAATTTACTCGAGCTGGGCAGAGAAGCCCCTCCCTCAAGCGTGCAAGGAATGGAGTGGGCTAGTTTCAAAGACGAGAGGCACAGAATCCGCTCTTTTCTGAACTACCCCACGCGTGCTGCCAAATCAGCGCTGGTGCTGGCCGAGGACGGCTTTGTTTACATCGGCACCGGCAGGAATAACGACGACACCGTCACGTGTTACTTTTGCTGTGTGAAAATAAGAGACTGGCATCCGTCGGATAATGTTTCTTACGTTCACGGAAAGAGATCGTCCAACTGCTCCATGGTGACACACGTTGATTGTGAAAACATCCCATTGACTTCCTACGCGGATTTTAATTATATAATGGACTTGTTGAACCCCCAAACGGACAATTTTGAGTGCAGGGAAATGGGTAAACCCTCAAACATGGACGTCGACACAGACGGTGCATCTGATTCTGGGCGTTCACGTTGGACGCAACAGTCCGCAGATATTGAGACAGATGGCGCATCCGAGACAAGGCGGCCCCGTGTGTCTCAGCAATCGTCAGATATCGAGACGGACTCTCCGCACGATTCACAGCGTCGCAATTTTCATCCTGCTGGATTGAGTACAGGACATAAGTCCATGTCTAATGAGAGGATACCCAATCAACCATCGGCAGCTTACGGGTTTTCTTCTGTACCCGACTCCCCTGTGATAATTCAGCATCCATCCACCCCCTTTCCAGGCACACCAGCTTCCCAGAAAAGTCAAGTACCGGTAAATACCCCACAACCATCACATACTACAGCGTCATCCCCTGTAAGCCAGAGACCCAGCACCGCAAGCCAACCCTCAGCGCCGACAGTGCCTTCAAATGCTACACGAAATTCTACACCAAGCGTGCCACAAACTCTCCCGGCGTCTACAAACAGCTCTGTAGCTTCGGCAACAGCCGTTGCGACATCGACAAGCCTAAACTCAACAGCAGCATCTACGGTCACGCCACCGTCTGCCAACCAAACCAACTCGGCAGGTGGGACGGTGACGGCACAGAGTGCCGCAGGGCAGAAAGACAATAAAAGCGGCAAAGGCCCAACGTACGCAGAACTCGGCATCATGACGGAGCGACCGAAGCGACCAGAGTACGCCCTTAAGGCCAAGAGATTCGAGACATACACCAACTGGCCGAGACATCATCACCTGAAGCCCGAAGATCTTTCGGCGGCAGGTTTTTATTTCGCTGGTGAGTAAATTGTTTTATAACAACGAAAATTTCTCCACAGTAGATTTATATGCTGAATATCTAAACGTCTCACGCCAAGTAACTCATTAGTATCTATTGTAGCGAGTACTAGAGTCCCGGAAACTATTTTGTATTTATTATAACCAGGAAACTGATTCCTGGAAACTCTTTTGTAAGTCTTATATATTGTAGCCAGGAAACTGATTCCTGGTCTCGATTAATATTTAAATTGCCTAATTTTATATTCTGACATGTTAATTATTAGATGGCAAAATACGCCAATGCACACAAAATAGCCTGAGGTTAACTTTAAAATAAAACAAGACTAAGGTTAAATGTTTATTAATGTGAGTAACCATCGCCTCATTGATTGCTCCCTCGGGAGCAATAAACAATGCAATACAGAAAAATGCTTTTCACTATAATAGTTTTGTTTCAACTTCAGTGTTGTTAACTGTTGCTAAAAATATGATTCTATATCTTAAGGATGTAGTGTGCATTGTATTTAGTGAGTTCAAGAATTTCTAAAAAAATATGATTCTATATCTTAAATATGTAGTGTGCATTGTATTTAGTGAGTTCAAGAATTTCTAAAAATATGATTCTATATCTTAAGGATGTAGTGTGCATTGTATTTAGTGATATCAAGATAAAATATTAAAAAAATGATGAATTTTGAACACTGATGCTATTAAAATAGACTCTGAACATTCTAAATAGATTTGAAGTCACTCCGCGGCCTAATTTTGAACACTCTAATAAAACCATTGATCAACTTAACTAAAAAAAAAAAAAGAGGTTTATTCTGGACCTGCTACTGTTTCAGCCGTACCCAGTTGACGAGACATACTTTCCCTCCACAGGTTACGGTGACTGCGCCAGGTGTTTCTTCTGCGGCGGTGGCCTCAGGAACTGGGAGGACGAGGACGACGTCTGGGTGGAGCACGCCAGGTGGTTCCCCAAGTGCGCGTACATCCGACAGCTGATGGGGCCGGTGTTCGTGGAGAAGGTCCAGGAGCTGAACAAGACCAGGGACCAGGTTAGCGAAGTTCTGCACTGTCGATACATTGCTGTGTACTTTCTATCGCGCTCATATTGCTGTGTCATTAATGCTATTATAGGTCTGGAATCGTGTTCTTGTAGCACCAACCAGGTATGGTCTTATTAAAATCACATTATTTTCAAAAATCTTGCTGACGTGTTGGTATCGGGACTTTGAAGATAGACATACAACATATTGTCATACTTACGAAAAAAAAAAAAAGAAAACCATTTTTTTTAACTTCTAAATTTATATAATAGTTATTATTTTTTCCATTAGATTCCATATGCACTGGTGATTGAAACTATGGGGGCTGCAGGCGCAGCTTTTAAACCAGGTAGGTTTGTCTAGGATTACGAGCATTACCACCCAATGTATACTGTAAAGCTTGTTATAGAACAGAGTCGGTGTATAAACATTTATATATATATATATATATATATATATATATATATATATATATATATATATATATATATATATATATATATGATGTAATATAATTTGTATATAATTGCATTAAATTCAAAATCCATGAATGCCTACCACGAGCAATGTGTTGTAATAAATTCATTCCTTAAATGTAGTTAAATGATAGTTAAATTGATAGGATATTGTTTCATTCATAAAGGATTTTTTTTTTTATACTTAGTCTAACTCCCGTATCTTAAATTTATAACCCTGTAAATTTACCAGCCCCGTCTCCATTAACGAAACAACTAAAAATATTTAACTCATTCCCAAATTTTCTATTACCTTTAAAATTTTGTCTATTAAAGTTATTCACGATCTCGAATGTTAAGTGAGGAATTTCGAATTCATAGTCTTATGGTGTGAAGATTTCAAACTCTAAAAATGATCCTTTTTTTTTCCCCCCAGACACAAAAGAAAATCCATGGATAAGGGATCCTGCCGTAAAGACGGTGCTAGAACTCGGGTTTTACCAAGAGAAAGATGTCTTGGAGATTGCAGAAACCTTGAAAAATGGAGGTGCGGAAATCTTACGCCTTTTATTTCAACTATTAGAAAAAAAAATTGAATGCTGCCATTTCAAATCATGTGCATGGTCTGTGACCTCCTCATTTAGTTTGGCCATACCATTAAGACCATACGCCATTTAAAATCATGTGGTCTGAAGTCATCATTTATTTTTGCCATACCATTAAGACCAAACGCTGTTGAGTCGTGTATTCAAGCTATTGCGGCTACAAATTTCACTCACACTTTGTGTTCCTTTCACAGCGAGCTTCCTCTCCGCTGACGTCATCCTGCAGCGTTTGCAAGACAAACAACGGGTGCCCACCACCAAGACGACCCCAAGCAGTTCAGTGTCTAACAACGTCACCACTGTCCAAGACGAAGGTTGGTACAACACGGCTATCTGTAAACTGTTCTTTTGAGTCCCGTAATGTATAAAGGGGCAGCTCTAAATTTTTGAGGGGGGCCTTGGAACTTAACTTTTCAAAGGTTCCTTTTTAGCCATCAGCGAGATCTCTTTACCGTGACAGTCTGTCAGTACCACCAACGTAGAGACGTCGCGCATCAGGTGAAAGAGCGCGCGCGCGAGAGAGAGAGAGAGAGAGAGAGAGAGAGAGCAATCAACATAAGCTAGTGACCCAAATCATTACACTCAATGACTTATTCAAAGGTTCTGCTCGATGCATGTTACATGCCAAGTATTACCTACATAAACTTAATTTTTTGCGTACGGAATCGGGAGTCTGATTACACTTTAAAACAGAGTAAAATGACTCAACAGGCCCACAGTGTAATCAAAGATAAAAAGTATCGATGTTGATATTTGAACGTTAATCGACTCATGTCCAATCAATGAACACCGCCATTATCAGACACCCATTTCAAGCTGACTGAGGACCAACCCTCGTAACCCCGTGACAACCTGTCGATTCAGGAAGTACAAAGTCAGCTGCAGCATACAATCCCCATTAGATATCCGGGGACTTGATTCTTCTTAAGATATCATAAAACTAACAGGGAAGTAAAAAAAAAAAAAAAGACAGATTTTTCCTCATGAAATCTTACCACAGTTAATAACGAAGTTAAACTATATTTGGGGGTTAGGGGTCGTCGCCAGCAACCCCTATCAGGAAGACACAACTCTAAATCACGTTTGGCAACGTACAAAGGTCTCCGCGGGCGGGCCCTACTGGGTTTTCGTTATTGACATTCGACTGGAAATACCAGAGGTGGGTGCGATCACGCATGCGTGAACCCATGCGTCAAGTCCGCTTTACATTGTGTCAGCCGGGCTACGCGGGCTACGGTTGAACACGGCGGGACACGGTTCTGATCTGACTTTTTAGCCGTAGCTTTCGACGTCGAAAGAGGGGAAAAAAAGAGGAGTGGTGGGATTTACGGATAATCGTCACCGGGGGGGGGGGGGGGGGGGAATCTTTAAGACGTTTGAAAAAAATATGTAAAAATAATTTGCAGATATTGTAAGATGCAGTAGAAGTCTTGTCAAAGTCAAGCATAGTTGTTAATTGTTTTAAGTTGAGTGGTGGGATTTACGGATAATCGTCACCGGGGGGGGGGGAGGGGGGGAATCTTTAAGACGTTGGAAAAAAATAGGTAAAAATAATTTGCAGATATTGAAAGATGCAGTAGAAGTCTTGTCAAAGTCAAGCATAGTTGTTAATTGTTTTAAGTGTGTACTGTGTAATATATACCTGAACGGGGAAAGAACTTGAACAAATAGTGCAAATATGAAATGAAATGGTTTTGACTATACCGCCGCTGAGCCCTGAATGCCACAGACCCTGGTAGTGCACTGTTCTGGGGAATTGCTCATTATGTGTTGGATAGTGGTCGAGGGTATAAGGGTCTTATGGTATGGGGGTCGTATAGTGCAGTGGTCTTATGGTGTAGGGGTCTTACGGTGTAGGGGTCTTGTGGTGCTTTAGTCTTATGGTGTAGTGGCCTTATGGTAAAGTGGTCTTATGGTGCAGTGGCCTTATGCTATAGTGTTCTTATGGTTCCGGGGTCTTATGGTGTAGTGGTCTTATGGTGCCGGGGTCTTATGGTGTAGTGGTCTTATGGTGTAGGGGTCTTATGGTGTAGTGGACATATGGTATAGTTGTCTTAAGGTATAAGGGCCATGTAGTGCAGTGGTCTTATGCAAGAGGAGTCAATTAGCATAGTGGTCTTATTACGTTATATCAGATCCAAAAATATACAACATGCGTCGACTGTTATTGCTAATCTTGAATCAGACCTTTGATTTAAAAAAAAAAAAAAAATATTTGGTTTAGGGCTGTTCCAAAGTTCAGCACTATCTTTAGTACGTTCAGATAGTTACGGTTTGTTACGAATATCATAAATTGTGCGTAATTTAGTATCGTAGAGACAACGCCTGGTTGTTAGGCCTAGCTATTAACTGTAATTCCTATTAGTCGAAAAAGAATTAGAAAATCATTGAACAACGTGACGTGGGATGTTGAGTGTTGGTTCATTTGCGTGTTTTCAAAAGTGTTCCCAGTTTCTATAGTAAAGGTTTGCCCCTCCCAAGAGATGTTTCGACGCCATTTTGGGGTAAACAATAGTATTATTCATCTGATAGGTTAATGGGTATAAAATTCCTTTTGGCTATTAAACGTGTGCTGACATATTAAAAGAAAGTAGTTCCGTTCAAGTACGTAGTTGACGGAACACGTCATGCGTATTTGGCAACAGCTGACTAAGCAAAGGTGTCATTTCTATTCTTCCCGATTCGTAAGTTTTAGATTTTCCGAATTGTGTTTGCGGATATTCCCAGTATGAATTTTCCTTTTAGGTCTCAAATTTTTAACTTTGGGTCCCTTTCAACAATCTTTGCAATTTCCCCATTTTCAATAAGATAAATGATTTAAAGAAAAAAATAGCGTATGCGTTCAAATGACTGTGACCACAGCCGATACATGGCAGCAAATTTAGGCATTGGTATTGACAATCGCAGATTAATACGTTTATTTAGCAGAACTATTATATTATATAAAGGGTATCGTGGGGTTCCCCCCCCCCCTGAAAACAAAATTAGACCAAATTGAAAGAACAAATAACTAACTGTTCCATTCTTTTTTAAAAAAAAAAACTATCGCTTTTAGTGGTGCACATGTAATTCACTATGTTGCCCCCATCCCATTTTACGTTATTAAGTACAGTAGTGCCCTGGCTGCTGGGGTAACGATGGGCGACCAAGTAAGGTGGGCAGTGGATGAGCCGGACAGCTAAACTTAAAACTTCTTGTAGCACATACCAAAATCAAGCTTAAATAAACAAAGAACTCTACTTAATTTTATTTTATTTTCAGAGGCCATCAGGCAAATAAAGGAGAGGAACAACCAGCTCCGCCAGCAGACCGTCTGCAAGATTTGTATGGACAAGGAGGTCGCCGTCGTGTTCCTGCCCTGCGGTCATCTGGTGTCGTGTTCCGAGTGTGGTGCTGCGATGAAAGACTGCCCAGTGTGCAGGGTCAACATCAAGGGCGTTGTCCGCGCATTTATGTCGTAGGGGAGCAACCAAGGAGCAGGTGGGCCCAGTGAACGTGCACAGCAGGAAGTGTAAGCGATGGGCAACGCCGATGGGCAACGCCGATGGGCAACGCCGATGGGCAACGCCGATGGGCAACGCCGATGGGCAACGCGGTGGGATCAGTTCACCACACCCATGGCCAACTGATACACGTCGGAAATGAGTCGCGCTGACTGGATGCAGGCCATGCATTTCAGCGCGGGTCTTCGGGAAGGTGAACTCGGGCACTTCCAAAGGGTGCCGAGGAGGGTGGGGCGCTGAGGGCGATGACGCCACGAAGGATTTAAGGGCCATCACCGATGTCAATGAACATATGCATATTTTTTCACCGGTTTTTATCTCAAGCATGGATGGGATTCGAGTCGGTGATTCAGTCCACTATGAAGCGGCCAGCTGGCGTTTTTGAGCCGCATCCATGGAGACGGAGAAGCTGTTTCTAAACAAACAAACAAACACAAATCAACAAACAACAACAAAAACACTAAATTTTGCCTCAGTAATTAGTACGCTCTTTACCGACGCCTTGAGCTTAGATTGTGATGCTGAATTTTTTTTATGCATAAAGATTTAGTGTTACGTTTGAGTTTCTATGCTTACACAAAGAATAATGAGCCAGTGTACAATGGAGCTACAAACACATATCGCTGCTTCATTACGGTATGCCTTAAACATGAGGAAAATAGGTTGTTGTCTTTAATAATTGATTTTGTTTTCGGATGGTGATGAAATAAAGAGGGAGAGAGAGAAAGAGAGGGCGGCTTTCACCAAATAAATGAAATAGCGAAACGAGCTATGTGGAAGCTTGAAATAAGATAACAGGACAAAAAACAAGGACGTTTCGGCATAAAGCCTTCCTCAGCCAACAATAGAAATGAAAATATAACAAAGAAAAGAGCACAGTAGACAACTCGTGCAGTATTCATTCGTCTCTCCGGAAGTGGGAAAACAGGAAGCGAGAGAATATAAATATTGACACTGTGAAAAATAAAGTCCACAATAATAATGGACCAGAATATCCAGGGATACATCAACAAACAGTCAATAAGAAAATAGATGAAATATAGGGAAACAGAGAAACGTCAGTAGGATATTATTTGATTAATACCATATGGAGATATGGTGCCAAACAGCTGAATAAATTTATTTTCCATTTTAACCCTATCTGGTGTGTTACTGCATGAAATCAGTGCCGTAATGGTTACATCCAATGCACCTTTATGTTCTTTTTGGTTGAAATGAGAAGAGACCGGGGAAGGTTTACATTGCTCAATATCCCTTAGATGTTCAGTAAACCTATCAGCAAATCTTCTCCCAGTTTCCCCTATGTAACTAGATTGGCATCTACGGCAAACAATCGCAAATATTACATTTCTGCTGACACAGGTGAAACCCTCTTTAATGCACTAGATCGCATCAGCACGATCACACGAAAAGAGGCTTTCAAAACTCAAAAAGAACATAAAGGTGCATTGGATGTAACCATTACGGCACTGATTTCATGCAGTAACACACCAGATAGGGTTAAAATGGAAAATAAATTTATTCAGCTGTTTGGCACCATATCTCCATATGGTATTAATCAAATAATATCCTACTGATGGATGTAACCATTACGGCACTGATTTCATGCAGTAACACACCAGATAGGGTTAAAATGGAAAATAAATTTATTCAGCTGTTTGGCACCATATCTCCATATGGTATTAATCAAATAATATCCTACTGACGTTTCTCTGTTTCCCTATATTTCATCTATTTTCTTATTGACTGTTTGTTGATGTATCCCTGGATATTCTGGTCCATTATTATTGTGGACTTTATTTTTCACAGTGTCAATATTTATATTCTCTCGCTTCCTGTTTTCCCACTTCCGGAGACACGAATGGATACTGCTTGAGTTGTCTACTGTGCTCTTTTCTTTGTTATATTTTCATTTCTATTGTTGGCTGAGGAAGGCTTTATGCCGAAACGTCCTTGTTTTTTGTCCTGTTATCTTATTTCAAGCTTCCACATACCTCGTTTCGCTATTTCATTCATTTACTAAGCTTGAAAGCAGTCTTTTCATTTATTTCACCAAATATAAGGGTGGATCTGTTATGTCCTGAATGTCACACCTGACGTATTCAGATTTTGACGCTTTTCACGGCAGCTGAACAGATTAATACGGACGGCATTGCAATGTAAATTCAGCCATAGGAAATAAGACACATAAGGTAAGGGGGAAATAAGAAAGAATGCATAACAATAGCAACGAACGTATGGGCAAAAAAAAAAACCCTCTTCTTTCGTCTGTGAGCTTACAGATCAGGAAGCTCTGTGAAGTCCGAGAGAGTTCATCGTTGTTTACTTGGACTTTACACAGCGCAAGTTCCATAATATCGTTCTTAAAAAAAAAATGTTGATAAAATGAATGTTTGATTGTTACTATTATTTTTTCACCCAAAAAGGCGTTCTGTCGACACGATCGTGTTTTGTCTTGTCTTCATTCAGGGATTCTCACTCCAATTTTTTTTTTAATTTAAAAAAAAAAAAAATTTTTTGTACATCAATGGGCAAATGACCGGGGATCTATAAAAAAAGGAGTCTTTTTCGTTAACAATACATACTTTTCGCTTTTGTTATCTAAAAAGACCTGCGCCATACAATTTTCCACGCCCGAGCTCCAGATTAGCTACGCTAAAAGGTGGACAAACAATTATCAATGTTGTCGTGTGAGAATGTGTTAAGTTAATTGCATTTCTGTGTAAGAGAAAGAGTGATGCTCAAAGCACTAGCTGATGACACAGATTTGATTATTAAGAATGAAAGCTTTTTCACTATATATACTGTATCACTTTAGTTAAAAAAATATTTTTGTGAAACTATGAATTTCTTTTTTATTGGATTTGTTTTGTTGTTGCTTTGTTTAATCGACCTATTGCATGTTTGAACTTCAGAGGACATTTGCTGTCGCCAGTTAAATATTCTTCTAAGTCGAACGATGGTAACTGAGACAGAGTGACGACAGATGATGATCGAGGTATATATGTCAGAACGTGAGCTTAGCAAAGATTATATAGATCATTTAAAGGAATGTGACATTCAAAGATGTAAATATGTTAAAGACATTAATAAATCTATGATGCGTTAGTGTTACTTTTCACTGTACCTATACTTAGCATTAACATGTGTGTTTGATTCATAAGTAACATTCAAACAAATTTTATTCCTGGCACTTTAATAGAATTGTGAGAAAAAAAATAAAATATTTTTGATTCGGTTCTTAACTTTGACCTCTTTTTATTGGCTGTTTGAAAATTATGTGTTTATACTTCATATCAAAATGTTTATAGAGCTGTAAACAATTCTGTCTCTGGCCTAAAATTAGTTTCACTAAGAATCAATTTATCGACAAGCTAGTGGCAAAACTCTTACAACTAGCCTTCATCTAATGTTTGAATGGAAATCATTTATTCATATGAAAACATTTTCCCTCAGTAACAAAGAGTGTTTGTAATGGTCTTTGTGTTCAATTGGAAGTTGTACAACAGAGCACTGCATCGGAGGCATAGGATTCACATTGTATGTGCCTTTGATGACGTATTAATGGTAACCAGTCACTTCAATGATTTCACTTTGATTGCAATCCATTCACCTGAACATGTATAATTTGAGCACATTTCATACAGGAAAAAAAAAAAAGAATTCACACTCTGAATATCACAACAAAAATGACATCATCATCATAGCTTCTAACATGCAAAAAAAAAAATAAAAATAAATTTAAAAAAAAATATATATATTTTTTTTTAAAAATCAGTATTTTAAAGGTAGCCTACATTACATACAATTTTTTACCGGAATAGAAAAGAAGCAAAAAGCTTATTATTTTGTAATTTAGATTTACAGAGCCTTGGATCATCAGGCTAAGAAGTGATCTCGTCATTGAACTTTATTGCTTACATTTTTGAGAAGGGAAAAATAGAATAATACTTGAGATAGGCCTACACTCTATTGGGTGGATCTGGCAGGGATTTTAGGAATAATTTCTCATTTCATGATCTGTTTGGGCCTAGTCTGGAAAAAAAGGCGCCAGTTACGAGGCGTAAGTTTTAATAATTTCATCGGATCATCTAGGCGTAAGTTTAATAGTTTTGTTGCATGCCTAAGAGAAACGAATTACTTACTTTGCATTATTTTGAATTCATAAAAAAAAACTTTATTCTAAAAAAAATCAACACCGGAGTAATTATTTTTCTAGTTTTCTTATTGGTACAAATGACCGTAGTAATGTAGCAGCCAGTAATGTTTTGAGTAGTCTTCTCATTGATACAAATTACGTAGTAATACAGTAGCCAGTAATTATTTGAGTAGTTTTGTGATTGGTACAAATGACCGTAGTAATGTATCAGCCAGTAATTATTTGAGAAGTTCTTTCATTGGTACAAATGGCCGTAGTAATGTATCAGCCAGTAATTATTTGAGAAGTTCTTTCATTGGTACAAATGGCCGTAGTAATGTATCAGCCAGTAATTATTTGAGAAGTTCTTTCATTGATACAAATGGCCGTAGTAATGTATCAGCCAGCAATTATTTGTGTTAGAGCATTGGTTTGTCCACGAGAGTTGTTTCAATAGCATTGGTCTGTCCACGAGAATTGGTTCAATAGTATTGGTTTGTCCACGAGAGTTGGTTCAATAGCGTTGGTCTGTCCACGAGAGTTGGTTCAATAGCATTGGTCTGTCCACGAGAGTTGCTTCAATAGTATTTTTTGTCCACGAGAGTTGGTTCAATAGTGTTGATTTGTCCACGAGAGCTGGTTCAATAGCATTGGTCTGTCCACGAGAGCTGGTTCAATAGCATTGGTCTGTCCACGAGAGTTGGTTCAATAGCATTGGTCTGTCCACGAGAGTTGGTTCAATAGCATTGGTCTGTCCACGAGAGTTGGTTCAATAGCATTGGTCTGTCCACGAGAGTTGGTTCAATAGCATTGGTCTGTCCACGAGAGTTGGTTCAATAGCATTGGTCTGTCCACGAGAGTTGGTTCAATAGCATTGGTCTGTCCACGAGAGTTGGTTCAATAGCATTGGTTTGTCCACGAGAGTTGGTTCAATAGCATTGGTCTGTCCACGAGAGTTGGTTCAATAGCATTGGTCTGTCCACGAGAGTTGGTTCAATAGCATTGGTCTGTCCACGAGAGTTGGTTCAATAGCATTGGTTTGTCCACGAGAGTTGGTTCAATAGCATTGGTCTGTCCACGAGAGTTGGTTCAATAGCATTGGTTTGTCCACGAGAGTTGGTTCAATAGCATTGGTTTGTCCACGAGAGTTGGTTCAATAGCATTGGTCTGTCCACGAGAGCTGGTTCAATAGCATTGGTTTGTCCACGAGAGTTGGTTCATTAGTATTGGTCTGTCCACGAGAGTTGGTTCAATAGCATTGGTTTGTCCACGAGAGTTGGTTCATTAGTATTGGTCTGTCCACGAGAGTTGGTTCATTAGTATTGGTCTGTCCACGAGAGTTGGTTCAATAGCATTGGTCTGTCCACGAGAGTTGGTTCAATAGCATTGGTTTGTCCACGAGAGTTGGTTCAATAGCATTGGTCTGTCCACGAGAGTTGGTTCAATAGCATTGGTTTGTCCACGAGAGTTGGTTCAATAGCATTGGTTTGTCCACGAGAGTTGGTTCATTAGTATTGGTCTGTCCACGAGAATTGGTTCAATAGCATTGGTTTGTCCACGAGAGTTGGTTCAATAGCATTGGTCTGTCCACGAGAGCTGGTTCAATAGCATTGGTCTGTCCACGAGAATTGGTTCAATAGTATTGGTTTGTCCACGAGAGTTGGTTCAATAGCGTTGGTCTGTCCACGAGAGTTGGTTCAATAGCATTGGTCTGTCCACGAGAGTTGCTTCAATAGTATTTTTTGTCCACGAGAGTTGGTTCAATAGTGTTGATTTGTCCACGAGAGCTGGTTCAATAGCATTGGTCTGTCCACGAGAGCTGGTTCAATAGCATTGGTCTGTCCACGAGAGTTGGTTCAATAGCATTGGTCTGTCCACGAGAGTTGGTTCAATAGCATTGGTCTGTCCACGAGAGTTGGTTCAATAGCATTGGTCTGTCCACGAGAGTTGGTTCAATAGCATTGGTCTGTCCACGAGAGTTGGTTCAATAGCATTGGTCTGTCCACGAGAGTTGGTTCAATAGCATTGGTCTGTCCACGAGAGTTGGTTCAATAGCATTGGTTTGTCCACGAGAGTTGGTTCAATAGCATTGGTCTGTCCACGAGAGTTGGTTCAATAGCATTGGTCTGTCCACGAGAGCTGGTTCAATAGCATTGGTTTGTCCACGAGAGTTGGTTCATTAGTATTGGTCTGTCCACGAGAGTTGGTTCAATAGCATTGGTCTGTCCACGAGAGCTGGTTCAATAGCATTGGTCTGTCCACGAGAGTTGGTTCAATAGCATTATTCTCTCCTCTCAGCAAATGTAGGAACTTTACTGAATTAAACAGACGTCTTGAATTTTTCTTAAAAGAACTAATATTAAAATATTTTTTAAAAGCATATTTTATGTCTGAGTACATTTAAGTTATCTCCCCTTGTTGATCTCCATGTGCCCTTACCTAGTTTTTTTACTACAGAAGAACAAACTCATTTGTGTGGTTTATCAACTCAATTTTCTTGTTCCTTTTTATGAACTTATTGCAACCGGTGACACTTGTTGATTAATTCACCTTTATATAAACTTTTGTCATACCGTAATTTTACTCGATTTGGTTGGAGGTACTTGTACATAGGAGTTTATGTGAAAAGTTTAATGATATATTTAATCTGGGTCAAGATACTATTAAAATACATAACATACATTTGCTTGCGTTTCACTGTATATCTTCACGTACATAGCTGTGTCTTTTAATCAAGTTGCCGATGATGATAATTTGGAATAGTTAATGTGCCAATACCTCATGATTTTGCCCTTGTTAATCTTTTTCGCCTAGAAATTAGAAAAATGTCTCAGACACGTACATCGCTGGTGTTCGTTACACAACACAACTGAAAGCACGATGGCTGATCAGCAGAGAGTTACAAGCAAAGTTCCAAGAGGAGAGCAGTATTGCTGTGTCTGTGAAGCATATCGGGGGAAATTACTAGAAGGAAAAGAGGTTTATTAAACAAAAATTTCCTACTGATCCTGAACTGAATGGAGTATAGAAGCAGCGAGTACGCACCATGCCGACAGCTGGGTTTGAGGTTACTGCTAAGAGCAAGTTGTGCAGTGAGCATTTTTGTGATGACAGCCGGGTTTGAGGTTAATGCAAAGAGCAAGTTGTGCAGTGAGCATTTTTTTTGGAAATGGCGGAGCGAACCTCCCTCACATCTCTTTGCCATCAATTTTTGCAACAAGGAATTTCAGATTACAAAAAATAAGTTTTTTTCCTATAATTATAACTGTGTTTCGGCTAATTCTTTAATGATTTAAACCAAACCTACTGAGAGATAGATTATTACCAATTATCTTATGATTAGGCCTACGCCTACTGATAGATAATGAATCATATGAATGATCATAATATGATTATGCTACCAATATGTTATTTTAATAGTCATTATATAGACCTAAATGTAGTCCCTATAATTATAATTTTAATTTACATTTAGCTTAGGCTTAGACTTAGGCATGCACTGCCTACTAAGCCTACTTCTTTCATAATATTAAAACAAGGAGTTACTTTGGTAGAGTATTTATTAGAGTTAAAGTATTATACTTGGACTTGATACTTTAAATTTATTGACTAGCAGTACTAGTACTAGCACTATCATTATTTATAACTGATATAATCGCAGCATAATACTACTTTTCATTTGGCTCGGGCATAAAGTCAAGTCCTATGTGGTGTGAAAAAATATTTTAAGTGTAAGCTTATCGATCGTAATGTAATCCAAATCAAATGATAGATTAATTATTTTTTTTTTTAAGTTAGAGGTTGGAACAATTACTTCTTAAATTAGGTCTAAAGAATATATAATGTAGAACTTGAGAACGAGTTATACTTTTAAATTTAACAGGCAAATAAAATGTAAATCTGTACAGCATTTTTTATTTTAGAAATAATTGAACATGAAGAGAAATGCAACACACACACACAAAAACAGCTTTAACAATAGCAAATGTGTATACATGATCGTTCCGTTTGATGTTTATTATGGTAGGGCCACTAGCTAGAGCAATAATGATGTTTATTATGGTAGGTCCACTAGCTAGAGCAATAATCATGGTAGGTCCACTAGCTAGAGCAATAATGATGTTTATTATGGTAGGTCCACTAGCTAGAGCAATAATCATGGTAGGTCCACTAGCTAGAGCGCTAATGATGTTTATTATGGTAGGTCCACAAGCTGGAGCAATAATAATGTTTATTATGATAGGGCCACTAGCTCGAGCAATAATGATGTTTATTATGGTAGGGCCACTAGCTAGAGCGCTAATGATGTTTATTATGGTAGGTCCACTAGCTAGAGCGCTAATGATGTTTATTATGGTAGGGCCATTAGCTAGAGCGCTAATGATTTTTATTATGATAGGGCCACTAGCTAGAGCAATAATGATGTTTATTATGGTAGGGCCACTAGCTAGAGCAATAATGATGTTTATTATGGTAGGGCCACTAGCTAGAGCGCTAATGATGTTTATTATGGTAGGTCCACTAGCTAGAGCGCTAATGATGTTTATTATGGTAGGGCCACTAGCTAGAGCGCTAATGATGTTTATTATGATAGGGCCACTAGCTAGAGCAATAATGATGTTTATTATGGTAGGGCCACTAGCTAGAGCGCTAATGATGTTTATTATGGTAGGGCAACTAGCTAGAGCGCTAATGATGTTTATTATGGTAGGGCCACTAGCTAGAGCGCTAATGATGTTTATTATGGTAGGTCCACTAGCTAAAGCGCTAATGATGTTTAGTATGGTAGGGCAACTAGCTAGAGCGCTGAAATATAATTTCAAACACAGTTAATGCATAGGTGGATGGAATTGAATTACATACAAATAGCGAAATTTCATTTTATATGTGACACAACAAAATGGTTTCCGAATTAGTACAACCAATTTACAATATTCCCTAAATTAGTTTTCTTTTTTAAATGTCATGGGCTATATAAATATAATTTCGAACTTAGTTATTGCATCGGTGGATGAATCGCTGCAAGTGTCAAGTGTGTAGACTAAAATTTGAAAACCCATGCCTCTCACATGGACAGCTGTATGTGGCCTGCTCACATGGACAGCTGTATGTGGCCTGCTCACATGGACAGCTGTATGTGGCCTGCTCACATGGACAGCTGTATGTGGCCTTCTCACATGGACAGCTGTATGTGGCCTGCTCACATGGACAGCTGTATGTGGCCTGCTCACATGGACAGCTGTATGTGGCCTGCTCACATGGACAGCTGTATGTGGCCTGCTCACATGGACAGCTGTATGTGGCCTGCTCACGTGTCCAAAAACTCCTTATTTTTTCATGTAATCACCATACCGAAAAAAAAAATTGTTGATATAAACATTGCTTCAAAAACCTAATTTAAACACAAACACTTTTTTCTTTGAGTGGCATGCAGAGTACTCGCCTTTATATATATATATATATTCTGACTACATTAAAAGGCAAACAAAATTCTTTTTTCATGTTATAGTTTTCACATTCTAATGATACAAAGCAAAAACTTCCGTCAGAGGTAACGAAATATAAAAAAAAAAAAATTCCAAATCTACTTTAAAAAAAAAAAATTTAGGTGCCTAATAACAAACAAACAAAAAAAAAACTCTTATAGTGAACTCTAATGGCGAAGTTTAACAATTGTAAAAAGGAAAAGAAAAATTCAACAAATATAAATATGCATTACTTTTAAAACAAATGTTATTTTTGGGCAAGAGCTTTAATAATATTCATGTATTGCAAAAATTAACATTCCTAGATCAGTTCCGTCTACACTTAAGAAAGGAATAAACCGCTTTCAATCTGAGTTATTATTGTATTTCTCCCTTCCTCATAGTAAATTATAATCATATGGTCACATGTTTGGAAACTTAAGATCAGAAAAAAAAAACATGTTTATGTATATAACTGTTGCTATTTAAAATGACTTGATATGTGAATTGTTAAAATTTAATTTGAAGTAAATAAACGAATGGCACTTTTTTTTTTTGGGGGGGGGGGGGAGGTTCTTTGTATTTATCATTTAATAAATGTTTTACTCGAATTGAAAATGGCGGTTGTTATATTAAAAGTTTCTTTGAAAGAAACACAAAATCTCGTCTGCTTAGTGGATTGCCAAGGGGGCTAAATCGGTTATGTATTTTTTTTTTAGAAAACTATACAGTATGATTTAATTGAAAAATTAATTATTTCCAAAAGATAAAAGAGCTTGCCTAGCAAACAATTTAGTATGAATTTTCTGGTTATTTGCTAACTATTTTTTTTTTTTAAATTTTAATACATTAAGCAAATAATGTGGTATATATTTTCTGATTCTTTAATAATAAACATTTTTTTATATTTTAATTGTTACATTGTTAGCAAACAATGTAGTGTAGATTTTCTGATTATTAGATCATAATTTTATTTTAAAATTGTTAACAAACAATTTTGTATAGATTTTCTGATTCGTTCCTAATTAACATATTTAAAATGTTAAAATTTGTAGTATAGATTTTCTGATTATTTGCTAATAAATATTTTTAAAATTCTAAAATTAAAATCAAATAATGTTAAACAGATTTTCTGAGTATTCCCTAATAAACTTATTTAAAATGGTAAAATTGTTTTGAAACAATTTGATATAGATGTTATGAATATTTCCAAATATTTTTTTTTTACATTTTAAACTTGTTAGCCAAATATGAAGCATAGATTTTTTGATTATTTGCTAATAAACATTTTTCAAATGTTAAAACTGTAAGCAAATATAAAAAAAAAAAAGTAAATAAAAAAAGAATCTCTTAAAAACCAACATGGCTGACCAAACTTGACAACATGGCTGACCAAACTTGACAACATGGCTGACCAAACTTGACAACATGGCTGATCAACCTTGACCACATGGCTGACCAAACATGTCCAATGGTCGTAGACTTCGTAAGAAAGGCTGTTTTTTTTCACAAGACTTTTATCACAATAGAGAGAAGCATTTCTGTAAGGATGAAACCCTTTTCTGGGCCGCTCACTCCAAATCCTGATCTTTGAGTCGTTGGCTCTGTGTAAGAGGTTGCGTCTGTACCATTGTCACTTGAGGAGGTAGTTTCAGTGGGCAGAGTGCTGGTGGTGCTGGTGGTTGTACTTGGTGGCGTGTCACACGAAGCTGTTGTTGTAGACAAGACTTTGGAAGATTATTTTAGCTGTGATTTCACACACGATGTGCTATTAACTGTATAAATTCAAAAACTATTATGGAATACGTGTGTGTTATTTATTCGGCTTACATATGAGATTACGACACGTTACAAACAAATTCAATAATTTTCCAACGATAATTTTTAAGTGAAGACAAATCATTTTTTATATCTTTATAAAATGATTCAGTTTATCTATGGCCAGAAGTGTTTCTGTTTACTATGAATTATTAAGTTATCTATGCTCAGACGTGTTTCTGTTTACAATAAATTATTAATTTAACTATAGCTAGATGGGTTCCTATTTACTATCTCTTATATACATATTATCCTTGTTCTGTGGCTGCTTCCTTTTCACAACCGGCTCCCCCTTGCCAAACATGTTTTATATTAATAAGAATGAATGAATAAAAACAACAGCTGTGAATCAGTGAGCGCCATGCCTGAAGGCTGAACTCAGGTAAAAGGGTTACATTTTCTGGTCTTAAGCGTGGGCTTGCAATATTATATTAGTCAATATGGCGTAGAATGTCTTTGTGACTATTGTTTAAAGGCGCGCATATATTATTTTCATGCTACAAGTGCACCCATCAGGTTTTTTCTTAAAGTACCCGGACCTGGTGTAAAAAAAAAAACTGTGTATGGTTAGGCACTAGTATATTATGTTGTCTTCTGTCGACATATAAAACACACTGTGTATGGTTAGGCACTAGTATATTATGTTGTCTTCTGTCGACATATAAAACACACTGTGTATGGTTAGGCACTAGTATATTATGTTGTCTTCTGTCGACATATAAAACACACTGTGTATGGTTTATATTATGTTGTCTTGTGTGGACATAAAACACACTCTGTATGGTTAGGAATTAGTATGTTATGTTGTCTTGTGTGTACACCTAAAACACACTGTGTATGGGTTCTAGTTTTTTTTTTTTTGTTTTTTTTTAATTTCAAAGGATGTTCGTATTTTTGTATTTTTCTGTACTGTAAAACGCTAAAAGTTGTTGTTTATTTCGTATTATTTATGTGTTAGGAATTTTATTTAGGTACTTTTTCCCCAAACATTTCCGTGAAAAGAAATAGTTGAAATACATCCACCTCCACACAAAAATTCACCCACCCTTTTATCTCATCGCCGCACAACATCTGAAAAAAATGTAATGCTTGTAAAATGTTCTTTGCGCCAACCACAAAATAGCTGAGGTGCAACATCCCAGCTTCCCGGGTGGATGGGACTCGTAAGCCTTGGACGGCAACCCATCTAAGAGAAGGCAAACTCTGAATTTAAGCCAGAATGATCAACAAATTGATCGTCGGCCCCTCTAATATAAGGAGAAGAAGAGCTGCCACGTAGCCGTCTGAACGAAAATTTTGCCCAGTCACTTCTTTACGTCCATTTCTGACAACCAAAAGCCTGAAATATTAAAAGACTTTTACAAAGTACAGTTTGAGAAATAATGCCTAAACAACTCAAAATGAAAGGCGGGGCCTCAAGACATTATGAAAAACTTGTGCGAGCCACAATGGAAATGGATCAGGAGGAGAGCTATTGAGAAAATAATAAGAATAAAGAATAGTTCGTTACTTCGCGGGCCACAAAGTGGGTGCCGGCGTGCCCCATGCGACCCGCAGGCCGTATGTCGTGCACGCCTGTGCTACTAGATGTAGCCCGCCATACATTGGTGGAAGCAATGCGTAAACTTCCCAATTTACTTGACAAAACACGAACTCAAGTAACGCACATTTAGAAATCCAAATTTTTGATACATTCCTTCGCCCCATGATACGTCACTGCACACTCTTTATTTCACGCCCATGAACTATATTAATATTCTCATGTCCCAACCACTTTTAAATCGAATATTTTTTACACCATACTTAATAAACTGAGACGATTTCATTTTCCGAAAAGAAAATATTACTACCCAAACGCAGTTGCGTTATATTAAAAAAAACTATATCATTTAGCGCAGTTATCAGTAATTATATTTTAAGTTCTATTTAACACATTATTGAGCCATACTTTCTTTCAAACATTTAGAATTATTTGTAATATACTCACAATGCCAAAGTCGCTGATTGCGACGGAGCCGGAATTGGAAGCAGTAAATTAGGAAGCAGTCTGCATGTCATACCAGAAGCGAAATATATATTATAAGATATTTAACGTCAACTTACTTTTTCTCCTGAGAATTTGTGATGCTGTGATGATTGGTTGCTTCCATTCGGGCATAAGATTACAAGAAAAGTTACCAGCGTCATTGCAAGTGGCTCGTGTATTTATTAAGATCAGCTGTACGTCCGAAAATGTCGGTGATGCCGGTGTTTTGGAGATATCCTTCCATGGCTTCTTTTGATATCCACCACCACCACCTTCCTATATACAGATAGATAATAACAGTTTATTTAATAACTAGGTTGAAAGAGGTAAAGTCTTAAATTATCTAATGTTTCGAGGAAACAAATTATAAAAATTAATTCCAGGTGTTAATTCAATATCACCATAATTTTCATTCTATTTCAGAAAAAAAAAGGGGGGGGGGATATTACGTGTCTCATAATGTGAAGACATATGAACTTCCTTCTCGTTCTTCGGTTCACCCTTACCACTGAGAACTGGTGCAAAGTCTTATGTTATTGATTTTAAGGGTGTCAGCACGGTGCTCTTCTGTTGGTCCCAGGTCTTGTGTGCTTGCTATTGTAAACTTGCAATGGATCATTGTGGGCTGGCATGCTTCTATTGTAAGCTTAAAATGGAGGATGGTTAACAGGCATTCTGTTATCTTTTGCTTGCATTGGAGGATGATTGACAGGCATTCTGTTATCTTTTGCTTGCATTGGAGGATGATTGACAGGCATGTTGCTTTTGTTTGCTTGCAATGAATGTTGATTGACAGGCATGTTGCTTTTGTTTGCTTGCAATGAATGTTGATTGACAGGCATGGTGCTTTTGTTTGCTTGCAATGAATGTTGATTGACAGGCATGTTGCTTTTGTTTGCTTGCAATGAATGTTGATTGACAGGCATGCTTCCAAGTTGTAAATCCAAATTATATTACTGTTGGGCAATATAATTCTTGACTAGAAGTTACCAACTGTTTTACCAGTTGCTCGCCTTTAACATCTCAGGTTAATATTTGGTCTTTAAAGAGTTTTATACCGAACCCAGTTTTGAGACTGGTAATTACGGGCAGGTATGAATGATGTTTTACTTTTTCTGGTTTCGGTCTTCATCTTTACTTACGTGTTGCCTAGTAGCCCGGGGGGGGGGGGATTTGGTAGCAGACAGGATTTGACCTCTGCCCTCGTTTGACCATCTTTCTGTACACTTTCTTTGTAACCATTATCCATTCACGGTTAAATAATTACGAATTATTTAAACTCTGAGTTTTTTTAACGAAGCTGCTGACAACTGATAATTATTTACATTTTGACTACTGTACGGCCATTTTTATTCCCTAAATTTCCCAGCCACTATTAAGGATATTATCATAGTTCTGTGTAATTTCTCCTCTTGTTATTGTTCAGGATGCGTTGGTCATCTGCAGATATCAATTTTTTTTGAGTGCCTAGGGATTTAAATATTCATCTTTGGGGCTAATCCCATCACTGTTCTTTCTTTTGTAGATCGCATTGATGCTGTCGATGTGCCATCACTGTTCTTTCTTTTGTAGATCGCACTGATGCTGTCGATGTGCCATCACTGTTCTTTCTTTTGTAGATCGCATTGATGCTGTCGATGTGCCATCACTGTTCTTTCTTTTGTAGATCGCATTGATGCTGTCGATGTGCCATCACTGTTCTTTCTTTTGTAGATCGCATTGATGCTGTCGATGTGCCATCACTGTTCTTTCTTTTGTAGATCGCATTGATGCTGTCGATGTGCCATCACTGTTCTTTCTTTTGTAGATCGCATTGATGCTGTCGATGTGCCATCACTGTTCTTTCTTTTGTAGATCGCATTGATGCTGTCGATGTGCCATCACTGTTCTTTCTTTTGTAGATCGCATTGGTGATGGCTGTCGATGTGCCATCACTGTTCTTTCTTTTGTAGATCGCATTGATGCTGTCGATGTGCCATCCTTTCACTCCATTAGTTTCCTTGTTTTTTTGGACCCTATCCAAAAATTGTATGGTAATGTTTTGACTAATTTTGTAAAAATCTTGGTGACTGCTGAAATACATTATTGAACTCTTTTAGTGAATATTACATGTCTGCACTTCTCATCAATATATTGGTCGTTTTTGTGTTAGGACAATGTTTTGTTAAATTTTCTTCAGTCTGAAATTTAAAAAAAAATAATAATTAAAAATGATCTGTTGGTGCGCAAATTATCTAATTCCTGGATGCCTTAATAAAGGTGACACCACTGTGACGACATAGGGCGCTGGATCTAGAACATGACACCACTGTGACGACATAGCGCGCTGGATCTAGAACATGACACCACTGTGACGACATAGGGCGCTGGATCTAGAACATGACACCACTGTGACGACATAGCGCGCTGGAATGTGACAGTGACACCAATAGGATGATATAAGGCAAGGCTCCCCCCCCTCTCCCCCCCCCGCCTACATCCAACTCTCACGCTTTGCGTGAGTTGAACACATGATGTTTCGATCAAGCTTGCGCTCACCCAACCCTGTCAGCATTTGATGTGTCTACATATACAAGACTTTGATTTACCATACGATTGTAAGACTTCCATTTGCTACACTTGAATAAGACAATCTTTTGACATACTTAATTAAGACTTTCATTTGCCATACTTTAAGAAGACCTCTGGGAACTTTGACTTAAAAGTTTTTAACAAATATTATTAATTAAAACGCTTTGATCAAGAATTTTTGAATAAAGACAAGTTTTTAAGTGTCTCAAAATTGAGACAACCGTTTTAAAATCCTTACAATGCCTTACCAAAAGTGAAGCAAATGTTGTCTGAGTCCCTGAACAATGTTAATACAGCATTTTCAAACGTCAACTTCAATGAAGCTACAAAAACAGTCTATTAAAGTTAAACTGCTTCATTTCATCAATAGATTAAAAACTGATTTGTCTTCATTTAATTTTTATTATCATTGGACAATTTTTCAATTTTTTTTCTAACGTGTTTTGAGATTAAGTAAGCCGAATAAATAACACATCCATTATTCCATAACAGATTTTGAATTCACACAGTTAATTAGCACATTAGTGTATGAAACCACAGCTAAAAACAATCTTCTAAAGTCTTGTCTACAACAACAGCTTCGTGAGACTGGCCATCAAGCACAGTCACCCTCACCAGCACGCTGCCTTTGAAACCACCTATTGGAGATTGCACTCACAAAAATCGTTGTGTCTGTATCACTAATGAATTACAATCATAATAATTAGCGTCACGTTATTCAGAGAGGTTAACCATATTAATTTTTTCAGATTTTGAAACTCTTTCAATTCGATGATGCAGCATTCCTAATGTATCAACTGAATATTTGAAATTACTTACACAAGGGTTACATACCCCAGCGTAGTGCATCATGAGCCAGGGACCTTTGCGTTCTGATTCATCCATGTAATGTAACGTGCTCAACAGGGACAGTCCATAAAATGTATTGTACGGGGTATCGGTCACACGACTGAGATCACAGGTCACTGTATAGGTGTCTCCTTCTCCAATCTCCGTCTTGTCGAGTATGGGGTTGAGACCCGTGGCTGAAGAAATGAAGGACTCATAAGGTCTTAGTTCTAAAGTTATTACATATTACGAATCAAACATTATCAGCTAACTCGATCTAATGCTAAAATTGTGCAGCAATGTGATAGTAGCTATGATAACCCACCATGATAAAGTTGTCTAGATTATGATTGAAATGTTAATCTTTTTTATCACTGGTATTAATGATAACAAATAGTATATCCTTTACACTCTCATAAAGATAGCAGTACTCAAAATAGTTTTAGAGTAAGTAAATTTCTTTATTTTAATATTACTACTGAACCATTGGCTTAAATAAATGTAGATTTATTTTTTTAAACCATATTTAAATTGATTCGATTTACGTAAAATAATAGAAAATCCCCATCGTTGTTTTTAAGACAAGAACATTTTGAAATTGAATCGTTTTCTTTGAATGGTCAGCCTCGCCTATTCTTATATAATATATAACACTGGTGTTGATGCTCCCAATGGCGTGCAATGTTAGAAGGTATCAGATGGAGCTTTAGTTCAACGTATTAACCATTTACATTGGACACATTACTGTCGGAGCTTTGTTCAACAATTTAATAATAAGTTAACCATTGCTTCCATTGGCGTAGCTAGTAGGGTGCGGGGGTGCGGACCGCAATGGGTAGTACCAACTCAGGTTGGGGGGGGGGGGCGTGACTCAATTTAAAAAAAAAATGCATAATATAGAGCACACACTGCTCGGTCTGACCGTATTTCTCAAAAGGATAACAGAGGCCCCGTAAACTGCCCGCACGTGGAACCAATCCAAATGCGTGCTTATTCACTGTTGTTAACCATTGCTTCCATTGGCGTAGCTAGTAGGGTGCGGGGGTGCGGACCGCAATGGGTAGTACCAACTCAGGTTGGGGGGGGGGGCGTGACTCAATTTAAAAAAAAAATGCATAATATAGAGCACACACTGCTCGGTCTGACCGTATTTCTCAAAAGGATAACAGAGGACCCGTAAACTGTCCGCACGTGGAACCAATCCAAATGCGTGCTTATTCACTGTTCAAGGTTGACGCGCCAGACGCTTATTCACTGTTCAAGGTTTTGAGAAATAAATCTCTCCACTGATACAAAATGCTGTAAGGTCGGGCGATTCTATGTACATGTTGTTGGCATCCGTCCGTCAAAATGTGACGATGGTGTGGGTTTCGGAGGCCGAAATCCACAAGGCCTGGGATTATTCTTCAAGAATTCTAGACTGGTTCCCATCAGCAAATCGCCTGTCTCCACACCACTGGCTAACCCAAGGGAACATCATTGGATGATACAGCTTGGCACCAGTGACGTCGCAGGAGTTGTCGGAATGTTTCATTGTAACAATGTTATCCGCCTTTCCGGACTCCATCTCCGGGTTTGATTTCAGAGTTTCCTTCTCTTAGATGAGTTGCCATCCAAGGTTAACGAGTCCCATCTACCCGGGGTGCTGGTGATGTTTTTGCACGATGTTTTTGATGTTGTTGATGAACGTGTTACAGTTTTTAAAACCATTTACCTCCAGGCCTTCTATTAATTTGTTTCTGTTCTTGTTATTATTATACTGTGAACTTATTTAACAAGGAAAAAATCCACCGTGGAAGTAGGGGAGAGGAGTGGGGTCGAAACCATAAGTTTACTGCACCAAATGACGCCGGTTACCCAGCAACCTTAACGACGCCACTAATTTTTCCCTTTGCGGCAAACCGGTGTTATCATAGTTTTAAGTAGTTATTTCATTGTGTTTTTGTTTCCTAATTTTAGGCAGTTAGCGTGACGCGCAAGGGACAGCGCTTGCCAAGCACATCATTTCATTGTAAAAGTCTTTATATGTACTCACCAATTCCTATTACCGCTATGTAATATAACAAAAGGCACGCATTAATGGATAGGCCCATGTCCCCACATTTGGCAATGGTGATGTTGCAAAGTAAAGGAAATAGAAGAGTTCGCGCATTTTTATTTTGTAACTAAAAGAAGCCAAGAAATTACGTCATGTATTTGCGTGCAGTTTTACTTTGTAACCACACACACACAAAAAAAAAAGAAATTACGTCATGTATATACGTTTAGTCACTGACAAATCTATGCCTTATAAAGGGTACAACGATGTAATCTGTTTCAATATTTAATAAAGTTATATAAGTTATATATTTAACTGTGATATAGTATTTGCATTAAGATTGTATAAGAATTCCCAGTGTTCCAATAATCTTTATAGCCAATTCTTTCACTCTTTCTCCAAGTCTGTATCTCCTGCACTCTCTAGCTATCTCTCTAGCTCTCTCTCTCTCTCTCTCTCTCTCGCTCTCTCTCTCTCTCTCTCTCTCTCTCTCTCTCTCTCTCTCTCTCTCTCTCGCGCTCTCTCTCTCTCTCTCTCTCTCTCTCTCTCTCTCTCTCTCTCTCTCTCTCTCTCTCTCTCTCTCTCTCTCTCTCTCTCTCTCTCTCTCTCTCTCTCTCTCCCTATTTCGATTCTAAAAACATTTAAAAAACACAGTTGTATTTCCCCGCCTATCTTTAATGCGACCCCAGAATAGTCATTTTTTTATTAGTTGATACTTTCACAAACTCCTGGTTTTATACAAATGTATTTAGTGAACACATTTGTACTGGACAGAAGATAAGTCAGAGTTTTGTCTTTTTTGACATTGTGTTTCCTAGCACAGCGCTGTGGTGCCTATAGCGAACATAATGTGTTTATAAACGAGAGCGCTAGAAAGGAGTCATTATTTTTAGAATCCATGTCTAAAATTCATGATGCTATATAGAGATTTGTAGAGAAATGCATGAGGTTTCTAAAAAATGTTTGTCTTCAAACATATCGTGTCAACGCTTAGATGTTGTGGATAACAAAATGTAATGCTTAATGGATTTTATACAAATGTGAAGGAAAAAAAATGGTGATCAGATGCAAAAAGGGAAAAAATTAAACACCTGAAATTTTTTCATAAAATCTTTGTATTTAAAAAGCCAATCCATTTCTGTAAGTCATATGCTTGATTTATAACATTTCATGAGCATTTAATACAAGTTGGGATTGCATTCAGAAACAAGGATTAAGACAAATTATGGAACTTGCCATCCCATCTGCCTGGTAAAAAAAGAGTGAAAAGAAAATGGGAGACAATGAAAAAAAGGAACGCAAAAAAACATCGATCGTTTCGGCAGGAAGCCTTCGTCAGCGAACAAACAACACCCTCTCACGCTCCACTATCTGATACTACATTACAGCTATTATTTTTATTTCATTCTGTTTTTACTGTTGTTGTTTTTCGCTGCTGAACGATTTCGGCAACATGGCAGGTCATTTTTATTCATCGTATTCACTTAGAACCCGAAGTGGAGACATTCAAATGGAATTGTTCAAAATACAAGTCCCCCATTCAAGGCACCCCATTGTCTCAAGAGTGTTCCATATGAAGGTGAGTTGCCTCAAGTCAGTTCCACATAAAGGGCATTTATTCAAAAGTGTACAATTTGTTTTCTTACATTGTATGTCAGAGATGACGTATTCCACACATGAACATTTTGATATGGCTTTGGAAAAACGTTCTACTTAATTCTCTGGATTCTATCATATGTGCAGAGATGCCTGACTCTGACACTGACACCGAGCAAATTTGACTCATGGATCATTTGGACAATACCCCGAATATCTAAAAAACGGACATTGCAAAGATAAAGTTACCAAAGCAGTGTATCACGGGGATAAAATGCATTTCCCGATAACATAGCAACAGACGCAGAAGCCCTGCAGTTTTGGGAACATTTTTTTAAAAATATTATGAGTAAATTAGGGGCAATTATTGTTGAAAACCTTTTGGTAGTGCCTTACTCGCCACTGATAAGTACATCCTTCATGGCTCACATCTACAGGAAATATTGTCATTTGGGTAAATCAATCCAATTCGTTCTAAGTTTGTAAATAAATTATCAGGTCATGCGACGTTTAATATTACAAACTAGTTACAAATAAGAAGTGTGAAATTTTACAATACCAGACTTGGAGATAAATTAGCACTCTTGAAGCTGTTGGGAGAATAATTAATTTCTAAATAAAAAGACACAGACCTCACTTTGGTCCATCTAGCAGTCAACTTTGCTCAGTGTTGTCCACCCAGCATTACACTCGGCCCACTGTGTTCCATCTATCAGGCCAAATGCTCCCCTGTGGCCCATCCAGCAGTCGACTTATAACATGGTCAACGTGTGTATTGCAAGTCTAATGGCATGCAAATATTTGATCCACCTGCTACAACAGCTTTAATCAGTCTTTGAAGCACTGGTCATTTTTCTCGTGATTGTTGTACCCATAATTTCCTTCAGATTATTCGTGAAATAACACCCCGAAAGATATTCACTCGGTGCAAGCAAGTTGTAGTTGTACAAGGGTTCCTGATGTCAGGAAACAAAATATCATCGGTTGAGAATACACAGTCAACATGAACGACAGGAAACTTTTTCATCTAGTGTGATGGCCCACGTCTTTCCAGAGACTCGGCAAAGTTGGAGCTGATGTTCATCATGAATATTTTGAAGTAAACATGGCAAAGAAAAGACGGTTGAGTGTATGGAAATTTAAGTTCTATTTTCATCGGGCCTGTTTCAGCAATGGGCCTATTTCAAAGGCTGTTTTAAATTTTCATAGGCAATTTAAACTTTTTGCGAAAACATTAATACAGTTCTCGCGGTCCTCAGATGGCCCACCAATGCTGCACAAGATATGGTAAAACAAGTTTCTTTCATTTATACAAATACAAAAAATAAATGGCATGTGTTTTGAGTATGTTGAAAATCATTTTCAACATTTCACATCATGATATGTATTTTCCTTTCAATTATTATTATTATTATGGTTTTATATAGCGTGGTGCCCCTGCTGCCTGGGGCTGGGCTCACCACGCTGCACATACAATTTAACAAACATAATCAAAAACTTAAAAAATTAATTAACATACATTAATTTAATAAACAAAACAAATGTATATAACATTTGATATTTATTGTATATAAATAACAGTACACCAATTCATTTATGTCAATGT